GCCCGAGGCCTCCACAGGAATCCATTTCGAATAATTTCGATCAAGGTAGCGCCATGGATCGCAATGTGTTCGCTGGGGCCATGGTTTCCCAAACTCGATAGTGTCTCTCTCAAAACCAAGTTCCGGTCATCAAAGCCGAAGGCTCGACGCTTTTTTCGCAAGCATTTCGTCCAGATTTCCAACGTCATGCCTCTGCTGCTCCTCTTATCGGCCTGTTGCCTCACTCTGATATCTCAGTTTGCACTTTTTTGTGGATGCTGGCCTACTTGTAACTCGCGTGACTCATCTGTCTTTTTCTTGCTTCATGTTGCCTCAATGTGCGGGGTCCTACCCAAGATGATTCAAGCAAGCTTTGAACATTTCCAAGCCTGGCCTTGGGCCGACGATTCGTCAGAAGGTCGGGCAGGTTCGCGTTTCCTGATCATGGACGAGATGCGTGAAGAAAGCCACCTCGACTTGACCCTGCCTGGCACGGCTGTCGCGCGGCGCTGCCGCGCCTCGTGGTCGGGGCCCTGCCGTGGCGGGAGATTCGGCAAGAGCGATCTGACATGATAGATTTTGTCGAGTGCATGCCGCGTTCCACGAGCATGCGGCGGCAACAGGAAGTTGTCAGTCCTTCTCGCGCTCCCCACAACAGATGCCGCACCTCAGCATCGACAACTAACATCCGGTGCAACGTCCTGTTAACAGAGCTCCCCCTATCTGAGCTCGTCAAGCGGCTGCGCTGCACCCATCGCTCCACAAGGCGGCAAAAGATCTAGGCGGTATAGCCCGATGTGATGATGGATAGGCCAGTGCTGCAGACCATGCGACCTACTGCTGCTCAGTGCTGCAGGAACCCCTTGGACCAACTAGATCCACACCCAGATGTACACACATAGTGAGAGTCCCAGACTACACGAGACGTACGTGTATCTGCCAGTACAACACAGCTCTTGCTTCAATCAATCACCAGAGAGGTTGCACATGGATGCGCCCTTTTTACCCTCTCCAAGGGCCAGCAGCTCCTGGAAGTTCTTGCTCCTGAGAGGGAGCCGCCCACCATCAGGTAAAGAGATCTACAGGGTGCAACTCAGCAGTCGACGAAATGAGAGTGCTGGTCATCATGTATATCCCGGCCTGCAGCACGTCGTCCTGCTCTCCGATCCTCCTCGCGCATTGGATCAAGGGATTCTTCTCGAGGCCAAGCCTTAGTTCTCGCTGCGTGGCTCTCTGGGCAGATGAGGCTTACAAGCTGCGTGCGCGGCATGACACCCAAGCGCCGTGAGATCACGGGTTGATCGACTAGTCCACAACCTCAATACGTCGTGGACCCTAGGAGCATTGCCATAGTCGTCATATCATGCCGTTTTTGCTCGGACCGCGGTATGTGTCCGGTTTTCGCCGCACTCTCTGCTTGACGTAGAAGCATCTACTGGTGCAGTCCGAATACGGCAGAGGCTGCTGCCAAGCAGAAGATCGCTCGCAGCCTCCGGCCAACTTCTGATCGACCGGACGTTGAGTTCTCTCATAATGCGCTCACAATTGGGAGTGGGAGGTCTCACGAGCTCGTGTGTGACACGTTTTGCTACCATCTCCCTGAAACTGCAACTACTAGTGCTAGTGTTGATGCTAACGCTACTGCCGCTGTCACTGCTGCTGCTGCTGCTGCTGCTGCTGCTGCTGCTGCTGCTGCTGCTGCTGCTGCTGCTGCTGCTGCTGCCGCTGCTTCAAGTTTAGGCCCCTACTCCTACGACTAACTACAAATTTCAAACTACTACCTGCTCGCTACTATCTACCAACCAGAGTACTACCAACTCTGTATAACCACTTCTACCAGCTACAATGTACTACCAACTCTGTATAACCACGGCGGCTACTACTACTACTACTACTACTACTACTGCTACTACTACTACTACTACTACTACTACTGCTACCAGTACTA